CAGGGAGATCATATTTAGGGTATTTATTGTCAAATTGTTTCTGTTGTATCTTAAGTGTGCAAGACACTTTGCAGATGTACAAGAAAGTAATGTTCTTGTACCTAAAACCATGCAGGTCAGTAGAGATAATGATGGAAGCCATCAAAACTCCGTGGGTGATGAACAGGGGGAAATGCTCCAGGGAGAGCAAACCAGGCTTCCTTTCTTATGTTATTGCTATCGCTTGTAAAAACCTCCACTGCTGGGCAGGCCTGGAAGTGGTAGAGGCGAGATCATGGTGGCGGATTGCTAAACAAACGGAGCGAGCCTGGAGGAGGGATTTAATGAGGGAGAATCCCAGCATGAAATCCAATCCGAAGACTGCAAGCTGGAGTCAATTGCTCCAGCCCTAGTGGAGGGGATGCTGGAATTTTATCTTGAAGAACAGGATTTTCCTCTACTGAATTGTATTTACCAAACAGTCACTGAATAGTTGAAACAAAGTTTATCTTAACAAAGGAAGTGAAACAGTACTTTCAGGAAAGTGTAGTGTAAACAGCGGTCAGAATTTTTGCCACCATCATCAGTTTAATTCAGTAAATGCCCTTTGTCGGTGGCACGTACCTTTACTGCATAATAATGGACTCCATACGTTGGGAGGGATTCTACAATGCTCATGTAACTGCAGAATGAAACAGAAGAAGAATAACATGGCTGAGGAGTGGGGTTCTCCTGAAAAAGCATCTGCTTAAAAAAAAGAAGTTACTAGACAGGAGATGGGAGACACAGTTATGCGCAGAATTTACAGCCCAGTGTAGAATATATCCTAGCAAACAAAGGTCGCTCCCCAGCATTGTCCTTCCCAACTTACTTTACAATCGCTTGGCCTCTTGTCTGACCACTCAGTTTCTTGTAATGCTCGATGACTCTGTCCTCGCTGCGAAAGGAGACATAGAATCTTGTTATTTTTATCTTCGCTCAATAATCAAAGAAGATTTCAATAGGTGAGCAGGCATTTCTGTTACCTACGGCTACCAGCCTGGGAAACGAAGAGGGTGTGTAACAGAGACTACTCAGAATGGGACTGTACTCAGCCCCAGAGAAAAGGAAGCCAATGCAGAATACAAGATGGGATTGCAAAGAGAAAGGTTTCTGGATGGTGCTGGTTTTGTTAAGGGAAATGGGATCTACTCCCTCAGACTTTCTTCTCTGTGCCTCAGTCGCCTCCTCTTTGAGTTTTGTTTTGTTTACAATGCAAGTTTTGTCTCGAGACAAACTGCAGCCCTGTGTCCCCCCTTGCAGGCCTAAAGGAGCCTCTTGGCCAGCTGACACTCACAGCAGGCTGGGTCCCGAGCCTTCAGGAGCACTCCTCAGTCCTCACTGCTACCGCACAGAGGACAAAACCATGTATGGGAGTCGGCTTCACTAAGAGAGCAGGCTTGTGGCTTGTTATTACCCAGGGCCAATTTCTTAGCATCCACATAGCATACAGAGTAAGCCAGACTTGTAACTCCATCCTTAACTGCCCGCATTGTCCCCCACTAGGGAAGCAGATATGGATCGCAGAAGGTCATAGAACCAGGGTGATGTGAGCTATACTAGGAGTATGAGCGGTACTCTCAAGGGCACAAAAGGGCAAATTATAGACCACATTTGGATCTCAGTGACATGGGTCTCCTTTGATTTCAATGAAGTCACTCCTGATTTACACTCATGTAACAGAACAGCCCGATTAGCCTCTCAAACTAGTTTTATATTGGTCTAGCTTCAGTGGGCCAGCCTGATTCTCTCACCTGCATCATGGTAAATCAGGAGTAATGTCAAAGAAGTCACATCAGTTTCACCAGTGTAAACTGGTCTGGGAGGAGAATCAGGTCCTCAGATGTAAATTAGAATCTCCCGGCCTTTGTGCCTTTTCACTGAGGATGAAGATTCTCTGCTGTGCTTCTGGTATGTCTACACTGCAGTTGGACACACACAGCTGGCCCCTGCCTGACTTCAGCTGGCAGGGCTGACGATCCACCTCGCAGGGTCCTAGAGCCTGGGCTCCAGCCTGAGCCTGAATGTTTATACCAGGGGTCAGCATCCTTTCAGAAGTGGTGTGCCGAGTCTTCGTTGATTCACTCTAATTGAAGGTTTCACATGCGAGTAATACATGTTAATGTTTTTAGAAGGTCTCTTTCTATAAGTCTATAATATAGAACTAAACTATTGTTGTCTGTAAAGTAAATAAGGTTTTTAAAATCTTTAAGAAGCTTCATTTAAAATGCAGAGCCCCCCGCGTACTGGTGGCCAGGACCCGGGTAATGTGAGTGCCACTGAAAATTGGCACGTGTGCCATAGGTTGCCTACCCTTGGTCCATACCACAATGAAACAGCCCTGCAAGCTAGAGTCAGCTGGCACGGACCAGATGTGGGGTTTTAATTGCAATGTAGACATACCCTCAGAGGCACAGCCCAGAACTCACAGCCCAGGAGGAGGCTAACGTGTCTTTCAGCCAACGTTGTGCCCTCCCAGTCTTGGGCTGCTCTGGGGGGGCTACATAAGCCCCGGGCATAACTCAGCCAGCCCTGGGGGCCTGTCTAAGTTATGGCAGCCTCCCTACAGGCCACAGCACTGTCTGGAAATTCTGCAGAGCTGCATGCTGCGGCCCTGTCCCCAGTACACCCCCTATCCAAAGCTTGCAATAAAGTCACCAGGATGCAGCCTTATGGCTGTGCACCCATGAGTAGGGTTGCCACCTTTCTAATGGCTGGTAACCAGACCCCCAAGGCCCTGCCCCCAAGACCCCACCTCTTCCCAGAGGCCCCACCCCCACCTCGCCTCTTCCCCCAAGGCCCATCTCCTGCTCTGCATCTCCTCCCAAGGCCCCACCCCTGCTCTGCCTCTCCCCCCTCAAACCTCGCCCCCATTGCTCGCGCCTCTCCCTCACTCCCCCACATTGCTCGCTGCAGGTTGGAGGCGGCCTCAGCTGAGCAGGGGTTGGCTTAGGTTAATGACCCATTGCCTCCCCCTTCCCTGCAGTAACGGGACTTTTGGTTCGGTTGCCATTTAGAGTTGCTAGGACCCCTTTTTGACTGGACTTTCCGGTCGAACACCTGGCAACCCTAAATGGCACCTGGACACAGAAGCCAAAAACCGGACTGTCTGGGTAAAACCTGGACGGGTGGCAACCCCACAGTGCCTGCCCTGAGGGAATCCTCCCCCCATCAGGAACTAAATCTTTGAAGGCCCCTTTATGCTTCTCCTGTCCTTTTACATAGTGTAACTGGCCAGGTTGGGGTGGGTGATGATCTCACCCCAAGTGCTTAGAGACCCCGGCCCTGGAGGCTTTGTGGAAATTTTTGCAAAATATTTCACTTAGCAACAGCTCTGCTTACATAACAGTGTCTTCTCCTCTGCATTTCTTTCCCCTTGTGTTTATTATTGTGCCAGAACCAGGCGCACGGAGACGGGATCTTTGTTGCAAAGGCGCTCACCTACCCCTGCTGTGGAGCGCTCAGCTGAAATCATAACCCCCCGGCTGTGAAATCACAATTAGCTACCATGCGGAGGATAGATCACTGTGACATCTTAAACAGGTGGGGAATCAGAAGCTTGAACGAAGGAGGTGAAGATCCTGTTTTCATGCAAAACATCCCCAATTTGCTCACCCGAGGAGGAGTCCCCCAGCCAGCAAGCCCAGAATTCTTAGGCAGGAACCAGTAATCCGAATGGCTGATGTAATATGGGGACATGTTTGTGGCACTTTGCCGTAATAGAACATTTCAAAAAATAATACAAAGGGAAGGCGGAAAAACAAACACAAAGGGGAAAAGGGGTAGGATCATTTCTAAGGAGAAGGGTTTTCAAGTCCGCTGCTCTTTAACATCCCTGCCATTGGTTTGTGTGCAAGTAACTTACTTTCCTCATTTATTCCCTTAGGCTGTGTCTACACTGGCACTTTTGTTGCTAAATTTGTCGCTCAGGGGGGTGAAAAAAACCCCCCTGAGCAACAGAAGTTTTAGGCCTGGTCCCCACTAAGTCCCCAAATCGGACTAAGGTACGCAAATTCAGCTACGTTAATAACGTAGCTGAATTCGAAGTACCTTAGTCCGAACTTACCGCGGTCCA